GGCAAGACGATGGGGTGGGTAGGGGTAGGTGGTGGGGTGGTAGCTGTGATGATGATAGTAATGGGATAGTGGTCGGGTGGCTGGGGCTTGGGATAGTAATGGTGTGGTCATGGTGGGGGTTAGGGGTGGGGCATGACGAACAATAGTAGCATGGTCGTGGTGGGTGGTGATGGAATTCAATTCCTTCCATTATGTCAATGAATGACAAATTCATTAATTTGTAGAATTCAATGAAATTTGAAGGATTCCATCCATTTCAAGAAATGAACCAAACAAATGAATTAAAATTTGGTCAAAAAAATTTGTCATTCCAATTCCATCAAATTCATTCGAATTCCACGAACCAAACGGCCCCTAAGAACATCTCCAACAGATTCTCTATAAATAAAGAAAATCAACTTTTTATTCTCTATAATGCTCCAAAAATTTCCTTAACTCATTTTCTAAAATATAGAATAATGGAGAAAAATCCAGATATAGAGAATTCTTTAAAAATCAAAAGAGAAGACAGAAAAATGAATTTTTTTGTTTATCTCAAATGATGGTTGAATTAATATCATTATATATATATATATATATATGTTTATTTCTTGTTTTAAAATAAATACCATATATATATATATATATTTTCAAGTATGATATTTGTACAAAATAAGTCGACTTATATATCATTTCAAGCCATCATTAATTTACTTACAATTTTCATCCCATTTTCCATTTTTCCTTAAAAAGTAAATACAACATTTATTTTCATATATAATTAATAAAAACATATACATTTTTTTAATCAAATAATAAAATATTTCTGAAAGGTAAAAGTAAAAAAAAATGTAAACATAAAAGGGAAAAAGTATGGTGGTGAAAAGTGTGGTATTTCTATTTATATAATCAGAAAAAGGGGTTATTAAATGAGAAACCAACCAAAGTGACGACATTGATATGACTGAATCAGTTATGATTCAATTGCAAAAGTTAAAAAGTAAAAAAAAAGACTTCACTCTTGAGTTGAGATGCATTTGACACTTCAAAAATTCCTTTTCATAACCATCCATCGATTATCATACATGTTTGATTTATGAAGCAATAAATGATCTCTTCAATTATGCAACATTATAAGTTAAAGACTTGGGATTATATGAGATTAAGAATTTTTCGTGAGACTTGTAAAATCAATTCTCAATCCTTGGATTAGATCTACAATCTGAACATTTATAAACGTCACGAGACTTCTTAATAATCACAAAATTGTCATCGAATAACAATTTTAGACCATTAGATCATTAGCTTATAAAGTTGATCAATGAACATAAATTGGTCTTACGGGTTTCACAAAAAACCTTTGTTCTCACGTAAACCTAACCCTACAAGTTAATATATATATATATATATATATATATA